CATCTCCATGGATGAAGAATTAATATGACTTCAGCAAAGTTAGTTTTCAGGTTTTAACAGAAGTTTCCTTAATAGGAGAGCATCACTTTTAAAACAGGCTCTTTGTCGTAAGGGCTCTTGTACAGTTCCTTAGTTCTGCCTAGGGTCTTCTCTGCAGTGGAAAAATATAGCCCTTGATTTTGCTTCTCAAGGTCTCCCATCCATGTAGAGTCTGACTGATTATAAGAGTGTCAAATGTAGGAACTGAGCCTTTAGTCACTGATTATTTTCTGGCACTTTTTAAAATGATTATTACTTGGAACAAATGTATCAGTGCTAGGATGTCATCATGCACTGAGCCTTTGACTCTAATAGATTGAGATATTGGACATAAGGTTTAAGAATTTCCTTTTGTTAACTAAAATTAGATTTAATGATTAGATTGCCAGCAGGTCTGTGAAAAGTATTTCCTTTACACGTTTCACGCTGAGTTCTTTCCTGGGAAGTTGTACAAGCTGAGAAAGTGGTCGTTAGAGGGTAGGTTTAGTCTTTGTTTTGTGTGGTTTCTTTTGTTTGTTTTTTTAGTTATCATACAGGGGTTCAGATGTATGTAATGTCTCATTTGATCTCATCTTCTGAAAAAGTGAAGATATTTTTGTTTTCCTGCTTAAGGGCCTGATTTTTCCCTTTCTTCCAGGCGCCTTATAATTATGTCTCTAAAATTAAATTGTCGTCAAATGATGATTGTAGTTTCTGCTTAGAAAAACACTGGCCTGACAGACCTGAGGAGGAGGGCCCCACGCAGACTGTGTCTTAGGCAATTTGCTTTTTCTTTATCGCACAGAGTTGGAGTGGAAATTGTCAGAGTCTGGAGCGATCAAGACAAACCTGGAGGAAAACCCCAAGAAGCCCATTGAAGACGTGCTGCTTTCCTCGGTGCGGCGCTCCGTCCCCGCCAGGAAGGGCAGTGATTCGGAGGATGACTGAGGCTGCCGCCCGGGTAACCTGCTGAACTTTCTTGATGGGATAAATCCTCTGAATTTTTTTAAGAAGGAAAAAGTAGGAATATATTTGGGGTTTTAGCCTTTTAATTATGTTTTAAGTTTTAAATCTCATAGATCTCAGAAATAATCATTGCTGGGAATCCTATTAAATGTCTTTGAACTCTCTTTTTAAATTAATAACATTTTCTTAAAAAAATAAAAGCCAGCCATTGGTATGGCAAATGTCCGTGTTTTCCTCACTTATATTTTAAGTAAGCCGTAAAATTATTGACTCTTTATTCACATAAAAATATAAAAAAATATGGAGGGTTTTTAAAAAATAATGTGAATAGATTATACAGTGGAAAAATAGCAAACTAAGTTTTGCATTTATATTATAATTTATTTTTATTCTTTTATAAAGGTAGCAACAGGATTATTAAATAAAATCAAAAAAATGATTGAAAGGAAAAAAATCTTACTATCCTATTTGGAAGAAATAGGCAATAATTTTTGTGAAACAAACATTGTCTTAGCAATAACAAAAAGATTAATCCCATTTTGGGTAAAATATTTCTTCTGGTTAAAATTTTTTGTCTCGGACTGTTGAGATGTCAGCTAATTTCAATTACTATAAAAGGCCACGTTAAATTCTTTTTTGGAAATAAATAGATGTAAGCATACAAATAGATCAGCTGTGTCTCAGTCAGTCAGTAAAAAACAGAGCAAGATGTTTTATGAACCAGAATCCTCTGAACATTTATCACTTCTTGTCAAATTGACCAGAGCAGAAGAATTAGGGAAACTGTCATTCCCTAGCATTTTGTTGAATGATGTCGTCCTCAGTGCTGGTTTGCATCTTAAAAATATGAGTCAGAGAGGGCGCTGAGTTCCTTCTGATTATTGCGATTTATTTTTGCTGTAATTCAAAGAACAACAGGTGGCTGTGACCCATTTTATCTGTCAGAAGTGTCCGTGTCAGTGACATGTGTTTGTCTACACACGAGGGCCAACACTGATGATAAAACAGACTCTGTGTCACAATCTTCCTTGAAGGGTTTTTCATGGAATTCTTACTGCAGGGTTAAGTTTGGATGGTTCTGTCACTCGTCTGCGGGTCCCTTGGGTTTTGTGGGAGAGCCGCCTTCGTTGGTTTTCTGTTGTCAGCTGTCGTCAGAGTGAAGTGCTGTGGTGAAGGCTTGGGTGCGCCTATATACGCCTGTTCTCTTTGTACACTTTGATCTTCGTTCCTTTGGAGTCTTGTCCCCGTGTCAGGCTAAGGCACTCAGTTTGAGCTCAGAAGCTCATGTGTCCGTGGACTGGGTGAGTCCTGTCTGGCCACACGGCTCCCAGGCTGCGGGACGCTCTGTGCTCATGCTGACTGGGCTTGATTTAAGGAGGGAGAGGGTGGCATCTCCGTCCTGAGATCAGTATTGTGATTTCGAACTTCATCTGCAAATCTCTACAGCTTGGTTAATTCTGGGAGACTTCCCTACAGCACTTACCATTAATCTCCTTATGTTTCATTTAGAGCATTTGTGATGTGATAGAGGTGATACAACTTGGCTCTTAAGCATTGAGTTCATCTCAGTCCAGAACAGAAACACATAGTGACCGGGAAGACAGGCAAGCGAGGTGCTGAGTCCGTCTTCCGGTGTTCGGAGCACGGGGTTACAGGGAAGGGCGTTAAGCAAGTACTAGGTAACCCTTTCTTTAGTGATTGGTGAGAAATGGTTCCAGAAAGTAGGGCTAAAACGTGACTGGGAGAAGTGAAGTGGGTAAGACTATAGAATTGTCCCTCGGTATCCGTGGGGGTTAATTCCAGGAGCCCCGTGGGGCATCCGTGGGTGCTCAGGTCCCTTGTGGCTGGCTCTTCAGGTCCGCAGAGTGGCTTTACCCCATGGTTGGTTGAATCTGCAGATATGGAGGGCTGACTGTGTGATCAAATAACAATTGATTCTTGCTGATTTTCCTTATTTTGTGGAGGAGAAAAAGGGTATAGTTAGGTCACACAGACCTGCCTCACGCACACCTGAATCCACACTCTCACGTGCTGTGGTTGCAGACAGTGGCTCCCCAGGGGGTCTCCTTCCCCAGGTACCTCAGAGAAGTTGACCTGATGCAAAGGCCCTTTATGAGAGATGTGAAAGGGGTGCTGAGAAGGGGGTCCTCTGTCACTGATGCCTCAACCTTTTGTCATTTATCACCTCCAGCTTTTCAGTTCAGTTTTCTTCTGTAACAATCTCAAATTTTGACAGTTTTCAGGTGTGACAGGCCAAATGTGTTGTGAGTGTGTTGCCTACTTTAGAAACATGTTCCTCTGACAGCGATTTTGTCCTGCTTACGGGAACCAGTTGTTACAAATAAATACAGCCTTTTTGACAGGTGGCTTTCGACACGCGTTCTTGGTGTTTGTGTTCACACAGCCAGGGTGCAGGCTTTCTGCCCTCTGTTCACTGCCCCCACTCGGTGACTCCACGGGGACCTGTCCCTTGTGTGCTGTGAGGAGTTCCCTGGGTCCAGCCCCCACCTCCCGCCGCTGCAGCCTCGTCTTCTCTTCTCTGCGTTCAGTCTCCAGTGAGGACGTGTCTAAGCCATCCCTCTGCATGTTTGACCCCGTTCTCTCCCACACTCTTTAGGACTTTGTTCCAGTAAATCATCATCTTGTCTCCGTCTCTCCCTTGATGTGAGGCCTCAGGCAGTAAGTGTTCTGATTGGGTGGCGGAGACTGTTCCCTGCCACAGACTGAGGTTCTCCAGCTCTGCTCAAGCAGCAGTGGGACCAGCTAAGAGTAAACCCCCAGCCTCCCTGCAGGCTCTGACTGCCAGAGGGTGGTGGCCAGAAGTTGGCTGGGAGTTCTGGACAAGCTTCTTAAGAGGGACAGACACGTGGCATGTACCCTTTTTGAGCTTAACCCCCTCTGCCCTCTGATTGAGGTGTAGATGTGATTGCAGCCCACCTGGGCCACAGGTGTGCTTACAGAGCCAGAGTTGGGGGATGATATCCCTGACGACACTGGAGCCCCTGTAGGCCAGCTCTTGACTGGCCTCTTTGGACCTCTGTTACTGGGAAAGAAATAACTTCCATCTTGGTTTCTCTTAGAAGTAGCTGAAGCATCTCCCGTTAAAGCCCCTGCCCATCATCAGTCAGAACTACAACCGTGCTCGCTTTCCACTCCCTGCTTTCAAATTGCTCCACAGAACAGAGCAGTGCAGAGTCCCTTCCTCCACTTCATCCTCATTGCCTTTCAGTGACTTCATGGATCAGACTCTGTGAAAAGACTAGGTACTCTGAACGGCCCACCTGATGATAACTCAACATGTTGGATGAAACTTTTTTTTTAATGTTCTTAAATGTGCCACTGAGTCGTCAGGAAAAGAATTCATCCTCTGAGGCCAAAAACAAAGTGAAAGCTGAACTGCGGAAAGGTCAGCGAGCCTTCAGCTCGTTTACTCCCAGGGGCATGTGCCAGATCTTGGTGACACTGAGCTTCTGTGAGAATGGACTTGTGGAGGACAGGTGGCAGGAGGTAAGCCTGGGGAACCCTGCAGGAGGATCCTCTTGCAAACAGCTGGAATCCCAGAGGGCTGCCTTCAGTCTCGGGGGGGGACTGGCACTAGTTGGAAAGGAGAGGAACACAAGTAGGGATCCCTAAGAAGTCACTGACATGCCTTCTCCCACGTGGGTTTGAATTCCCAGGGTACACATGGTCTAAACATTTCTCATGCCAAGTTCTTACAGAGGTCCTAAGTTGGTAACACCCTTGGGCTCAGGGCCAAAGCAGCTGCATATCCGCATGAGAAGAGCAACTTTAATTTAGCCGCAGACACTCTCCATAGGACATGAACTCAGAGTCATAAATCAGAAACCCACAAGTCACACTATGCCTCAAATAAGGCATCCTGAATGAAAGCCAGCAAAAAACAGTGCAATCAGACTGCAAAGATTTAGAGAAGTAGAGTTTTCAAGACAAAAAAAAAGTGAGTACATTTAATATGTTTAAAGAAAAGAGTAAAGAAGAGTTGCTCATATAAATGCCTTATAAAAATATCCAGTGGAAGAAAGAACTAATAAACTGGAAAGCAGAGCCAAATGATCACCCTGTGGGTAACACACAGAGACAAACAGGAGGAAACGTTAAGAGGCTGAGAGATGCGGAGGAGAGCCTGAGAAGGTCTAACATATCTCTTAGAATTTTAAAAGGAGAATATTGGATATAGGCAATATTTGGGAAGATGAAGGTAGATTCTTCCAGAATTGATGAAGGACATCAACCCTCAGACTCAGAAAGCTGTATAAATGTCAAGTAAGTGAGGAATCTGCAGCATATATATAGCGAAACTGCAGAACGTCAAAGAACTTTGTAAACGCAGTCAGAAAATTCGGATTACCTACAACACAATAACAGGCCCACTGCCTTCTCAGCAGCAGCAGTGAAAGCCAGAACACTGGAACAGTGTGATCTATGGGCCAAGAAGAGACAACAAGACAAAAACTAATCAGGAATTGTTTTCTCTGGCTTAAATTGTCACAGTGTTCTCCTAGGTCAGTCTACCAAGGAAATGGAAAAAAATAAATGGGACCTAGTTAAACTTACAGTATTTACACAGCAAAGGAAACCATAAACAAAACAAAAATACAACCTACGGAATGGGAGAAAATATTTGCAAACGATGCAACAGACAAAGGTTTTATCTCCAGAATGTACAAACAGCTCATACAACTCAATAACAAAAACACAAATGAACAAATCAAAAGATGGGCAGAAAACCTAAACAGATTTATCCAGTGAAGACACACAGATGGCCAATAGGAACATGAAAAGATACTCAGTATTGCCAGTTATCAGAGAAATGCAAGTCAAAACCACAATGAGGTATCACCTCATACCAGTCAGAATGGTTATCATTAAGAAGTCCACAAATGATAAATGCTGGAGAGGGTGTGGAGAAAAAGAAACCCTCCTGTACTGTTGGTGGGAATGTAAATTGGTGCAGCCACTATGTAAAACAGTATGGAGATTTCTTAAAAAACTAAAAATAGACTTACCATAAGATCCAGCAATCCCACTCCTGGGCACGTATCTCGGGAGAACTAATCTGAAAAGATATGTGCACCCCAATGTTCATAGCAGCACTATTTACAACAGCCAAGACATGGGAACAACCTAAATATCCATTGTTAGATGACTGGATAAAGAAGTTGTGGTATATCTATACAGTGGAATACTACTCAGCCATAAAAAGTAATCAAATAATGCCATTTGCAGCAACATGGATGGACCTAGAGATGATCATACTAAATGAAGTAAGCCAGACAGA